GTCTCCCCTCTCCTTCTCCTCCCTCCTCCGCCTCTCCTCCTGTCTACGGTCCCACGTTTCCTCCTCCTGACTCCTCCCCCGCTGTTTTCCCCAGTTCTCCGCCTTTGTCGTCTCCTCCTCCGTCTCGTACTTGGGCTACTCGTCGCTCTCCTCGTGCTCGTCCCTCGTCCCCTGTCCCTCTCACTGACCTTCGTACTGTCTTGTTACGTTCTAGTCCGTCTCGTTCGGCTCCTCCTGTGCTTCCTTCTCCTCCTGAGTCGGCCCTCACAGCTTCTCTCTCTACCCCTGTCACTGACTACTACCGCACGTACCGTCCTGTTCTCTCTCGTGTTCTCGCCTCTCTTGTTACCCACCCTCGTGCCTCTTTGTCCTCTGTCTCCGCTCTTACTGCCGCGGTCACTGAGTTTGCCTCTACTCGCCGCCTTGACTACGCCACCACTCTTGTGGCTGCTCCTCCTACCAGTCCTCTGGCCGTCGGGGGTGTGTCTGCCCTTGGCTGTGACGTCCTAGAGGACAGGCAGTTTGAGCTAGAGTTCCTGGCAGCCGCTTCCCCTCATCTCTGTGCCATGCTCCTCACCCCTGAGGGTGACCCCGACGCCCTTGACATTCCGACTCCTCGCACTTATGCTGAGGCAGTGTCAGGGCCTTGGGCCTCTCAGTGGAGAGCTGCCATGGACGCAGAGATGGCCTCCTACAGATCCACAGGCACCTACGTCGATGAGGTTCCTCCCCCTGGGACGAACGTAGTCGATGGCATGTGGATCTACAGGGTGAAGTGGCCTCCAGGATCTCCTCCAGTCTTCAAGGCGCGCTACGTTGCTAGAGGTTTCAGTCAGCGCGAGGGAGTTGACTTCTTTCATACCTTCGTGCCCACCCCGAAGATGACCACTCTTCGGGTGTTACTGCACGTAGCAGCACAGAGAGACTACGAGTTACACTCTCTTAGGGCAGCCTACACGAGGAGGTCTGGCTGCGTCGTCCCTCTGCCTTCACTGGCACTTTCCCTCCTGGGACCCAGTGGAGGCTGAGGCGACCTGTCTACGGTCTTCGCCAGGCCCCTCGTGAGTGGCACGACACTCTCCGCTCTACCCTCTCTGACCTTGGGTTCCAGCCGTCTTCTGCCGACCCGTCGCTGTTCATTCGCCGTGGCTCCACACCGTTCTTCGTTCTGGTTTACGTCGACGACCTAGTTTTCGCCACTGCTGACAGGGTTGCTTTGGCAGACGTGAAGTCTGAACTGCAGAAGAGACACACGTGCACTGACCTTGGTGAGCTGCGCCATTACCTTGGGCTGCAGATCACCAGGGACAGAGCTGCTCGCACCATTACACTCTCACAGTCACACATGGTGCAGCAGGTCCTTCAGCGGTTCGAGCTTCAGCACTCCACAGTACAGCGCACACCTCTTGCTGTTGACCACATCCTCACTGGACCCTTTCCTGACGAGCCGTTTGAGCCTAGTGGTCCCTACGCAGAGCTTGTGGGTTGCCTCATGTACTTGATGACTTGTACTCGCCCGGACCTCGCTTTCCCTCTCAGCATCCTTGCGCGCTTTGTTGCGCCAGGGAGACACCGTCCTGTTCACTGGACAGCAGCTGTGAGGGTGGCGAAGTACCTAGCGACGACATCAGGCGTGGGGCTAGTACTTGGAGGGCAGCAGTCTGTTGTACTTACTGGTCACTGTGACTCCTCTTACGCTGACGACGCTGAGACTCACAGGTCTACTCAGGGGTACTGTTTCAGTCTGGGTTCTGGAGCTGTTTCCTGGCGGTCCACGCGCTCCTCTTCGGTCTCGACCTCTACAGCTGAGGCTGAGATCTACGCTGGTGCCATGGCGGCACAGGAGCTGCGTTGGTTGACGTTCTTGCTCGCCGACCTGGGTGAGCGGCCGAGCTCTGCACCGACCTTGTTCACTGACAACAAGGCATCCATTCTCCTTTGTCGAGAGCCGCGACTGGAGAGCAGAGTGAAGCACATTAACGTCAGGTACTTCCTTCTGCGAGAGTTGCAGAGGCGTGGACAGGCTCGCTTCGAGTTTGTGGAGTCTGAGGCCAACACTGCAGACATCTTCACCAAGGCGCTTCCGCCTTGTGACCACCACAGGTGTTGTGTGCAGTTAGGTCTCGTTGACACTGGTTTTCGGCTAACTTAGCCTTGAGTTCACTGCTTGCTTTGCTTGTACCCTTTCTATATATCTCTGTTATTGCTTGGACTGGCCTTGTGGCCATTGTTGCTTGTGCTCAGAGTTTGTGGTGACGTTGTGATCCACCCTGAGCTTTGTTTCTTTGTGACTGGTCTTATGACCGTACTCTTTTGGTTTTGCTAGACACCCCTGTCAGAACTAGCTGTAGAAAGTAAGAATGAAGAAAGGAGGGTTTGCACTAGCAGCAGTTGGCATACATATAGGAAACCCTAATTGGGTTGTACTCGCTATAGAGTACCCCACTGCAGGCTAGAGCATAATATTTTGACACACCCCCATAGCCAAAGTGGGGTGTAATCAGCAGAGAAAGCAAAGCAGTACAAGCTCAAGGTGGATCACAATGTCACCACACATTCTGAGCACAAGTTTAAGAAGCAATAGTTTAAAGTGCACAATTATGAGCAAAGCTAGAGGCAGTTACAGAGGGCAAGTGAGGAGGAGGAGGGCTGGCGAGAGGAGAGAAGAGTGGAGGCGACGACTGAAGCTGCAGACACACGGGCAACAGACGGCTCTGGTGCAACTCTAGTGGCTACCGGGAGCAAGGGCCCCGGAATACAGGAGTAACAGGCTCTGCGTCTGATCAGCAGCGACAGGAGCAACGGACCCACGGGCGACAGGTGCAACCGGCTCTCTGAGCTACCGGTGGCTATCAGAACCCCGGAATACAGGCGCTGCAGACGACACGACGGCTGCCTCCACCCAACCTCCTCCAACTGTCCCACACCCCCCAACACACACCCCCTGCTGAAACCCTAGCTCCACTCCCATGGCACCCCCCTTAAACCCTAAACCCTCGGCTCCCACACACCCACCCCCCTGAGCAGCAGCTGCAGCAGTGGGAGACGGAGGAGGAGGAGGAGCAGGGGACGGCTGACAGAGACGGCACCCCCATACGCTCCACCCCCAAACCCTAATTCAGGAGTACGGGCAGCAGCAGGGGTGGGGCGCCGTCAGAAGCGCGAGGGACGGCGTGCAGCTCAGTGGGAGAGGAGACCGGGCGCCCGCGGGCCAGGCGCAGCCCGTACGAACCGCGCGCAGGCGGCCCGAGGCGCGCGCGGGCCAGGCGCAGCCCGTACGGGCCGCGCGCGGGCCTGGCGCAGGCCGTACGGGCCGCGCGCGGGCCTGGCGCAGCCCGTACGAGCAGCGCGCGGGTTGTACGGGCCGCGCGCGGGCCTGGCGCAGCCCGTACGGGCCGCGCGCGTGCAGGACAGGCCGCGCGCGGGCCTGGCGCAGCCTGTACGGGCCGCGCTCGTGCAGTACGGGCCGCGCACGGGCGACGGGGGCGACGCGCGGGTCCCCGGGGGCGCTTCGGCGGGCGACGGGGGGAGAAAACCGCCGCGCGCCTCGGGGCGCACGGCGGGCAGAGAACCGCCGCGCGCCTCGGGGCGCACGGCGGGCAGAAAACCGCCGCACACCTCGGGGCGCACGGCGGGATGAAAAATCCGTCGCACGCCACGAGGCGTGCGACACACAGAGTAGCAGTAGCAGTAGCAGTAGCAGCGGAAGGCTTAGGTGGTGGGCCCACCCACAGGATCGACCCAGGAGGGTCGACCTGCTCTGATAGCATGTCAGAACTAGCTGTAGAAAGTAAGAATGAAGAAAGGAGGGTTTGCACTAGCAGCAGTTGGCATACATATAGGAAACCCTAATTGGGTTGTACTCGCTATAGAGTACCCCACTGCAGGCTAGAGCATAATATTCTGACAACCCCTCACTTAGGCTATGGGGGTGTGTCAAATGTTGGTAGCCTGTAGTGAGGTTTGTCTTAGGGGGTACGTATGTTAGGGTTTGCTACTTGTACCCCAACCACCATCAATGAAACAACACTTGTGATTCTGACAGAGGCCAACACTGCAGACATCTTCACCAAGGCCTTTAAGCCTTGTAACCACCCTCGGTTTTGTCTGCAGTTAGGCCTCGTTGAGACTGGGTCTAGTAGACTGCAGTAGTGAGTTCTTGCCTCTTCTTTATTTGTACAATATATATTATCTTGTACACTCTTGAACGTGCCTTGTGGCCTCTTGTTTGTGCTCAGACTGTGTGGTGACGTTGTGATCCACCCTAAGCTTTGTTTTCTCTCTTACTTGTGACTGGTCTTGTGACCTGAGGTTGCGTTTTGTCGCTTGGCATTCCCCACTTAGGCTATGGGGTTATGTCAAAAGTTATAGCCTCTAGTGGGTTATGCTATGTAGGGTACAAACGGTTAGGGTTAAGTATTTGTACCCCAACCCAATCAATCCAACTCATTCCGCTTTTTTCAGTTACTGAGACTGGGGTTCTGACAGGGCCCACCATCGTTCAGTCTACAAACTACCCCTTGTTGGTCTCGAAGCTATCTAATATCGCATTGGCTTTTTTTTGCCCGACCTGTACTCAACATCGTGTTCCCGAGGTTACCATATAGCTAGGATAGCCCACTATATTGTCCTGTGTCCTCATTGTATCAACAGTCCAGATTGTCACTGCTTCGTTACTCCTTGTTTTCTGCGCACTCCTTTTCAACAACTCATAACAACTGTCAAATGTTTTCAAGTCCTCTAGTAACACCACACACCCGAGACGTTACAGTATGCGCTAACCCATTCGCCTCTTTCGGGACGTCCATCCTTCCCCCTCGGTTGGTTCTTCTGGGACAAGGACGCCCTGCGTGTTCCACACACCCTGGAGATCCTTTTTCACACCTAGGGTTGTTCCGAACTGGTAGAAGTCGCAGAAAAAGCTGCTTCGTGGCTCTCTGGGATTTCCTCATTTGTGGTAGTGTTGGGTGCTGCTAGCAAGTGGCTTAGTGATCGTCATCATGGCGCACCTTATCAACACTGCCAGACGTCAGGTCACCTCCGCCCTCTGCTCGGCTAGTTCTCACGGATCTGCGTATTACAAGCAGGTACGAGTCATGGCCGTAACGATTAGCCACCTCGGATTTTTCGCGTCCTGTATCCTGCTCTTCCTCTGTGTTTTATGCTCGTCGCCAACAATCCGCTATCCGTTTTGTCGATGCAGCTACTTGAGCACAACAAGCAGTACATTGTGGATGGCGGGAATCCTGAGAAGGTGAAGGAGCTCTCGAAGCAGCTTTATTACACCACTTTGGCGAGGTAACTCCCCGCCGCGCGATCTTTCTGAACTCGTTGGCTGCCTCTTTTCAGTTGCTTAGCGTTGTTTTCCCCTTGCCAGTTTGCTAAGCTCACGCGTTTCCTTCGGTGCAGCTTTCCCAAACGGTATCAGCATGCTCAGCAAGAACTGCAGATCGTGAAGCAAAAGTGGGCGAACCGAGCGGAGCTGCAACTAGAGGAGATCGGGATTACCACATTGTTTCTCGCAGAGGTGTATGCCTGGTTCTGTGTGGGCGAAATCGTTGGCCGGGGATTTACCCTCACAGGCTATAAGCCTTAAGCTGCGTCAGTGGAACAATTAATCACAGGTGCTGCTGCAACAATATGTGACAAATGTTCACGTGGAAGCTTACTGTTTCCTCTCCATCAGTATCACATCACCTTAATTCATGATTCATGGCATGTTCACCTTGCAGCCTGGACCCGGAGTTTCCCTAAGAAAATGTAAATTTTCGAAAGTGTGTAACACTTTCTAAAATTGTGTATTGTGAATAGCGAAGATATTTGTACCGAAGCAAAATGCTTCGGCGAACCGCTACTTCCCCTCTTTTTCGGTATAAAAGAGGGGGCGAAGGCCATTTGGCCTTCACCCACGTTTTTCATTTCAAACTTTCAGTTTTCAAGTTCCCGATTTTTTTCGTCCAAGCTGGCGAGGACTAAGATGTCAAATGTTGTAGCCTATAGTGAGGTTTGTCTTAGGGGGTACAAAACTTAGGGTTAGCTATATGTACCCCAACCAACATCAATGCATCATCCATTCCTCATTCTGACATGGTATCAGTTAGGTTAGGATCCTGTGGGATCCCGTTCCTCCGTTCTCCGTTCGTATCTCCCGAGCCTGATCCTACCTCTCGTTCGTACCGGTTCCGTTGTTACCGCGCCTAGTGCCGAGCCTAGCGCCCTTCCCCCCGTCGCCTAGCGCCCTTTCCCCCCCGTCACGTCGCGCCCTTTCCCCCCGTTGCGTCGCGCCCGTTCCCCCCCGTCGAGTCGCGCCCTTTCCCCCCGTCGCGTCGCGCTCTTTCCCCCCGTCGCGTCGCGCCCTTTCCCACCGTCGCGTCGCGCCCTTTCCCCCCGTCACGTCGCCCTGCCCCGTCCCGTCGCCCTGCCCCGTCCCGTCCCGTCGACCCGTCCCGTCCCGTCGCCCCTGCCCCGTCCCGTCCCCGTCCCGTCCCGTCGCCCTGCCCCGTCCCGTCCCGTCCCGTCCCGTCCCGTCGCCCTGCCCCGTCCCGTCCCGTCGCCCCGTCCCGTCCCGTCGCCCCTGCCCCGTCCCGTCCCCGTCCCGTCCCGTCGCCCTGCCCCGTCCCGTCCCGTCCCGTCCCGTCCCGTCGCCCTGCCCCTGCCCCGTCCCGTCGCCCCGTCCCGTCGCCCTGCTCCGTTGCGTCGCCCTTCCCCGTCCCGTCGCCCTGCCCCGTCGCGTCGCCCTTCCCCGTCCCGTCGCCCTGCCCCGTCGCGTCGCCCTGCCCCGTCGCGTCGCCCTGCCCCGTCGCATCGTGCCCGCCCTTTCCCCCGTCCCGTCGACCCTACGCCCTGGCCCGTCGCTCTAGCCCGCTCTTCCGCTGCGACTAAGTCCCACCTGCACCCTAATTTGCCTCTTACCTCCTGCTGTTACTCGCCTGCTCGTTCGCGTTAGTTTTCGCTATGGCGACTCCGCGAGTTCTTCGTTTCGACGCTGACGGTAGACCTCTTGACTTTTCCGTCTGGCTTCTTCGTGCTCGCCGTCTGTTAGAGAGTCAAGTCCAGGGGGGCGAGACCCTCTGGTCGCACGCTACTGGTGACCTCCCCGAGCCCCCCGAGCCTGCCGCTTTAGGTCCTGCCCCTGACGATGCTGCTACGGCTCGCTTTGCCCGTCAGCGCGCTGACAGGACGGCTTGGACGTCACGTGACGCTGCGGCCTGCATCGCACTCAGCAGCCTCCTCCCTGAGTCAGAGGAGGTCCACTTCACTCAGGTTCGCACCGCTGCTGCGTACCTCACTGCGATTAAGGCCCGCTACTCTACTCCCGCTACTGTCTCTCTTGGCCGTCTTTTCCTCCCGTTCCTGTTTCCTGATCTCGCCTCGTTTGAGCGCTCTGCTGACTTGATCGCTCACCTCCGCTCGCTCGACGCTAGTTACCGCGCTGCTTGCACTGAGGCACAGCTTGCACTGCTTCCTCCCCCCATGGCGATTACTATCTATTTCATCGCCACTAGCCTCCCTGACCGCCTTGCCTCCGTACGTGACGCGCTCCTGCTGAAGCACCCTAGTGAGCTGACAGTTGAGGTCCTTGAGTCTGCGCTCAAGGACGTCGAGAGCAACCTTCGCTCGGTAGCTGCCGCCTCTGGTGCTGTGCCCCCCCCACTCTTCCACGGGTGCACAGTCCCGCAGTTACCCACCTTCACTGCCTCTCTTGCCACTGCCGCTACTGACGCGACTGCAGCTGCTGCTACGACTGCGTCGCGGTCCCGCGGCAAGGGGGGCAAGAAAGGTGGTTCTGGTGGAGGTGGAGGCGGAGGTAGCGGAGGTAGTGGGGGTGCTGTTGCGACTGGCGGTGGTGGGAGTGCAGCGTCTGGAGAGACCTCTCGTGCAGCGGCTGGTGACTCCACTGCGCCTGCTGGTGGTGGCGACGCCCGAGCTCGTCAGTCGTCTCCTGTACTGCCGGCCCCGCTAGGTGGAGCAGCGGCGTGGTACCAGGCTCAGCGTCAGCAGCGGCTTCAGCAGCAGCAGCAGCCCCTCTCCTCCCAGCAGCCTCAGCAGCAGCAGCGTCAGCAGCTGGCTCCGGGGTCGGGGCTGCGTCAGCCTCAGCGTGGTGCTGCTTACCCTCCCTGCACCTATCAGGTTCTGACAGGTCCTCGTCGGGGCCACCCTTGTGGCCGCTTTCACCCCCCTGGTCAGTGCTTTGCTCAGCTCACTGACACGGTCCGGTTGGCCTACGGGGTTGGCGGTCCTGCCCTTGACTGGCTTCCTCTGGTTCAGCGCTACGGCTCCGCTCTGTGGGGCATGTCTGCTGAGCAGTTAGTTGATCTGATTGGTGCTCCTCATGCTATGTATGCTGTTGTTGACTCTAGTGTTTCTGACTCTGCTTACTCTGGTGTTGTTAGCTTAGGTGCTAGCCTTGCTCAGTTGCCTGTTGCTAGTGTAGGTTCTTGTGTAGACTCTAGTCCAGCGGCTACCTCAGAGGACGGTTCGCTGTCGTTCACGCTGGACTCTGGAGCCTCTCACTGCTTCTTTCGTGACAGCACGACACTTACGCCTCTTCCTGCGCCTGTTTCTGTGGCGCTGGCTGATCCCACTTCGGGACCAGTCACCGCGCGTCACACTACCACCTTGCCGTGTCCGGCTGCTCCTTCTGGGTCTCTCACTGGGTTTCACGTCCCCTCGTTCTCCCGGAACTTGGTGGGCGTGCGACCCCTTGTGAGTCAGCACGTGGGTGTGTGGTTTGAGCCTTCTGGAGAGACTGCGGTGTGTGTTGACGGGGACTCTTACCAGCCCCTCGCCACTTTTGCTGCTGAGCCGGGCTCCGGTCTCTACACTCTTCACACTGGCCCGCGCGCTCAGCAGCGACTGCAGCAGCAGCAGCAGCCGCAGCAGCAGCAGCAGCAGCAGCCGCAGCAGCAGCAGCGGCAGCAGCAGCAGCCGCAGCCACAGCGGCCGCCGTCACAGCAGCCCCTCCTCCCAGTTCCTGTCCCTCCCCCTAGTCTCCTCCCTGCGTCTCACCAGGTGGTTCCGTCCTCTCAGGTTGTCGCGTCCAGTCCAGTCGCTGCGTCTTGCTCCTGTCGGTCGCTTGCCCACCCCACCGTTCTGTGGCACCACCGGATGGGACACCCTTCTCTTCCACGTCTGCGTGCTATGTCTAGTCAGCGTCTGGTCTTAGGTCTCCCGCGTGTCTTGCCGTCGCTGCCGCCGTCCCTTGCACCACCGTGCGGTCCTTGCGTCGAGGGTAGGCTGCGTGTCACCCGTCACTCCTCCTCCCTTCGTCCGGCCACCGAGCCTTTTGAGACACTGCACTTGGACGTCTGGGGCCCCTCTCCTCGCCCTGGCCCTGAGCGTGAGCGTTTCTTTTTGGTGGTCGTTGACGACTACTCCCGCTACACCACAGTGTTCCCCCTGGCGAGGAAGTCTGAGGTGACTTCTACGCTGATCAGGTGGTTGCTTACCACCCAGGACACTCGTGGTCGTCGTGTCAGCTGTCTCCACTCCGACCGCGGGGGCGAGTTTCGCTCCGGCATTCTCGCTGGATTCTGTCGCGAACAGGGCATTCGTCAGTCCTGGACGCTTCCGGAGTCCCCACAGCAGAATGGGGTTGCTGAGCGTCGCATAGGCCTGGTCATGGAGATTGCCCGCACCTCCTTGACTCACGCCCGTGCCCCCCATTTCCTGTGGCCATACGCAGTCAGGTACGCCGCGCACCAGCTGAACCTCTGGCCACGCGTCTCTCGGCCGGAGGCTTCACCGACCAGTCTTTGGACAGGGTCCCCTGGTGTCGCGTCGAGGTTTCGTGTCTGGGGGTGCTTGGCTCTTGTCCGCGACACCTCCGCGGACAAGCTCTCGCCTCGCGCCGTTTCTTGTGTCTTCCTTGGTTTCCCTGAGGACTCCTCTGACTTCACCTTTTACCACCCTCCCTCTCGGGAGGTTGGTCCTACGACTGTCCCTGTACAGGTCTCTGGTTCTGGGGGTGCTGGAGTTGGAGCTGAGCCGCGGGTTGCAGAGGACTCTTGTCTTCCGGGGGCTGGTACTGGTCGTGCGGAGTCTGGGGGTGCTGGTGCGGAGTCTGGGGGTGCTGCGTCTGGGGGTGAGGGTGTTCCTTCGGTTTCTGGAGAGCCTGGGTCTGGAGCTGGTGTTGGTGCTGCCTCTGGGGGTGGTGTGCTTGGTGCTTCGGAGGTCGACTCTGGGGCTGCCGCTGCCCCGGACACTACTCCTTCCCCCCACCCCTACCCGACCAGGTTCCAGGCTCGTGTTCGCCGTGCTCGTGAGGAGCAGCTGGAGTTGGAGAGAGAGGAGAGAGAGTTGCAGCGGCTCGAGGAGCAGGAGCGACAGCAGCAGGGGCAGCAGCCGCAGCAGCCGCAGCAGCAGCAGCTGCCGTCTCCTCCTCCTGTCTCGGGTCTTCGGACCCTTGGTCTCCCCTCTCCCTCTCCTTCCTCCTCCCCCTCTCCTCCCGTCTCTGGTCCTTCGCTTCCTCCTCCTGACCCCTCTCCCGCTGTTTTCCCTCGTTCTCAGTCTTCGTTGTCCCCTCCTTCTTCTCAGACTTGGGCCTCTCGTCGCTCCCCTCGTGCTCGTCCCTCGTCTCCTGTTCCCTTCACTGAC